ACAGGCACGCGCCACCATGCCCAGCTAATTTTTTGTATTTTTAGTAGAGACGGGGTTTCACCATGTTGACCAGGATGGTCTCGATCTCTTGACCTCGTGATCCACCCGCCTCGGCCTCTCAAAGTGCTGGGATTACAGGCTTGAGCCACCGCGCCCGGCCAGAAGAGACCCTTTAAGGATTTTTTATCTTCACCAGTAGTTATTACTGTGATCTATATAACTTATTTTATTAGTGTTCACAAGTCCTGTAAAATATATACCATTACCATTTACCATATATACCATTTTTTTGTATTTAAAAATAAGGACAAACCCTTGGAAGTAAGGGCCCTTTCTAGATTGCCCAGCATGAACAGGCAAAGCAGAGCTACACTGGGGGTGACGGTCCACTGCCGGCACCACGTGGGCAGGGGGTCAGCCTACACACCATCCAGGGGACGGTGCTGGTGCTCTCAGGCCTTTCTGCACTCTACAGACCCAACACAGGGTTTCACCGGCCAGGTCCAAACACACACCCAGAGTGGAGGGCTCCTCGGCACAGTGGGTGATAGACCTGAAGACAATGAGCCACCTGCCCAGCAGGAAAAAGGGAATATCCCTAAATCTTCTGTGTCCACATGTGTACTTTGGACACAGAAGTACACTTGAACCCAACAAAAATTGAGAAGAGCACTGTACTTTTTCATCAGAAATATTTGATCTATATTTAGATTTTATAATATTTACAATTGAAAGAGTATATTCACATGCCCAAGTTGTTCCAAAAATATTCAAGGTTTTCCAGTAACTAAATCAAGTAGGTTTTAAATTTAAGTTAATTAAAATAATTCATTTCTTCAGTCACGTGAGACAGGCGTGCCAAGTGCTTACTCGGCTGCTGCATGTGGCTCGCGGCTACTGTGCTGGGCAGTGCAGCTCTCCACGGGAGCCATCCTCACTCACAGACGTCACGCGTGTGCATCAGTGAGGTATTTTAGGAGGAGATGTGAGCCCACTTTATATTAAACAATTTTTAATTGAGGCAAAATCCACTTAACACAAAACTTACCATTCAAAAGCGAACTCAATGACATTTAGTGTATCCACAATGGTATACAACCATCGCCTCTATCTAGTTCCAAAACACTTTCATTACCTCCCAAAGAAGCCCTGTGTCCATTAGCAGTCACTCATTTATCTAATCCTTTCTCCAATTGTTCCCTCAACCCCACCATGCCCCTGGCAACTACTAATGATTTTGCCTCTACAGGTTTGCCTGTTCTGGACATTTCACACAAATGGAATCATACGGTTGTTTTTGCCTGGCTTATTTCACTTGGCATAATGTCCTCCTAAATGTTGATCCATGTTGTAGCATGAATCAGAACTCCATTCCTTTTTAAGGCTGAATAATATTCTACTGTACAGATAAAACACATTTTGTTTATTCATCCACTGATGGACATATTCAGGTGCCCCCACTGTTTGGCTGTTATGAATAATGCTGCTATGAACACTAATGTACAAACATCTCTTTGAGTCCCTGTTTCAATTCTTTTGCATATTTACCTAGAAGTGCTGGGTCATATGGTAATTCTATAGTTAACTGTTTGAGGAACTACTATACTATTTTCCACAGCAGCTACACCACTTTACATTCCCAACAGTAGTGTACCAGGGTTCCAGTTTCTTCATACCTTCACCAATACTTGTTATCTTCTGTTTTTTGATTACAGCCATCCCCACAAGTGTGGCTAGCACCACCAGTCCTTTATCTTGACCACAAAAACAAAGGCCTGCCTTCTCTGCCTTTCAGACCTGCTCCAGTCAAGTTTCTATCTGCCATCACTGTAACCATGTGGGCTGCCCTCCATACTGGGGCAGTAAACAGGACCTGAGGTGTTGTCTATAAAGCGTCTTGTAAAGGCTCTGGAAGACCAAGGTCTCAGTTGCAAATTTTTATAGTACTTATTTAGTACCCTTAGAATACCTTCTATCTATTTTCTAAGGATGAGCATATTAGTACAAATAGTATGAACAATATTATTAACATGATAATTATCCTAAACAAGGGCATTCTAACATTGCTCTTGGCTTGCCTCGAGTACCTCTCTATACCGTTCCTTTACAGAATTCCACCTCTCACTCTGAGCTCCTAACCCCAACCTGCAGATCCCCATTCCTTTCTCCTTGCCAAACTCAATTTTACTTTTTTAGTGGCCGGTGCCCCTTAAGTCATCTAGCTGAGAAGCTTCTTTATGCTCGGAACATTCTCATGTTCTATAACTGGTTTGATTTGTAATTGTTTCTGCTGTCACTGTCCACATTTAGAGTAATGCTTCTGGGAGGCCTCAGATACGACTTCAGGTAGTTAACCTTCAAAACCACTGAATGGTACAGAGGATACAAGTCTCGCAGGGTTGTCTTCTGACACCCAGTGCAAGATCCAGTCCTAAGAGGACATGGGTACAACGTTCCTAGGATGGAGTTCAAAGGCCCCTATCTAAAAATAACACCTGTGATAAAGTAGTCTGATGGTTTTACATTTTTTTTTCTGTGAATATTTTTTTAAAGTCAGGTTTGTGGAGGTGTAGTATACACATAGTAAAACTCACTCTTTTGAGGTCACATCTCCATGAGCTGCTGCTACAATCAACCCACATCCCAGAAACCCCGTTCCCCTTCTCAGCAGTCCTCTAAGCCCATGATGCTCGTTTTACCATCCAGTATGTCCATGTCCAGAATGTCACATGTGTGGAATCACAAATTGTGCAGCCCTATAGGTACTGCCTCCTCTGACTGTGGGGACTCTGATGCTCAGCCACACCGTGCCTCCTGGCACAGGCAGACCACACACCTGTTTGTGGATGTGTGGGCATTTCCAGTGTTTCGCAATCAGGTAGAGAGCTGCTACAGAGA